AGAGATCCGCCTGCCTCTGCCTCCCAAGTGCTGGGATTAAAGGCGTGCGCCACCAACGCCCGTCTAGTCTTGAAACTTTCATGATTTATATTTTACTTGGATCCTGAATCTGAAGGGTATAAAATTTCATCTTTTAAAAGTACTAGTTAGGTGTAGTGATACACTTGTAGCTTTAGCATCCAGATATATCAAGAATTTGAGAGTCTAGGCTATATCAGACCCTAGTTTGGGGCTGGAGAGAGGTTAAGAGCAGTGACTGCTCTTCTAGAGTTCAATTCCCAGCAACCACATGGTGGCTCACAACCATCTACAATTCAACCTGGTGCCCTCTTCTGGCATGTAGGCAGAACACTGTATGTGTAATAAATAAATAAATCTTTAAATAAAAAAAAAAAAAGAGACCCTATTTCAAAAAATGGTGTAATGTATGGGGGAAATGAATATTGTTTAATGTGGTGCTAGGGAAGAAAAGGAAACAAGACAGCACCCTGCAGGGTGTAGTACTCACCTGCAGGTCTTTCTAGACACACAGGAGACAGAGGTGGTGATGTCCTTTGACCCAATGACTTCCAGGGACAGCCTGGACAGCATAAATTTTGTGACCTCATTTCAATACAGCGGATGGACTAAAGTTTTTAAGCATCATTTGAGGATTTTATGTGTGGAAACATGCTTTAATTATAACAGCTAAAATGTTTGTGAAGGGCCAGGCAGAAAATAATACTGCCACTTGTTGAAAATTATAGAAGCTTAATGGTATGTGGAAATTCATTAATTGTATTTTGTGTTTGAAAATTACCTAAAAAATATTAGAGAAATAATATATCCTTGAAATAAAGTATACAGAAGCAAATATAAAGCGGTTTAATAGAAAGTTTTAAATTTTTATTTTTTTATTTTTTATTTTTTTTGAAAGTTTTAAATTTTTAATATTAAGATACTGTAGGAGTGTATTAACAGACGGTTTTATGGAGCTTACTGTCTTTTAGGTCAGAGGAACTGGAAAGATAGCTTAGTGATGAGGGCCATGGGTACCCACATAGTAACTCAAGGTGACTCCAGTACAGGGAACCAGGCACCCTATTCTGGCCTCTTGAGGGAGGGCACCAGAGATGCACATGGTGTATGGCTATAGATAAAGCATTCATACATGTAAACAAATATCTAAAATTTACTTCTTTGTATTCCTGTTTCCAATGCTATAAAATGGTAGAATAATTTACCAATTCAAGCTGATCTAAAATTTTTGATGGAATGTTAACTTCAGTTTTTTAATTTTTACAGATGGTTCCAACCCCTATACATTGAAGCTTTGCTTTTCTACATCATCCCATTTATAAGAAGAGAAGAGCATGCTAGAATTTATGTTCGTCTTTATTACAGTTTTAAAGCTAAACTCCATTAAAAATAATCTAAAATGGTTGATCTAATGTTGCCTTGCTTACTATAAGATCCTCTTCTGTAATAAACATATTTTGCCTCAAGTAAATTTGTTGTTAACTTAAATATTGTTTTCACTTTAAGATAGAATACTACAGCTTTGTTGTAGATTTATACAAACGTATGATTTCTAACATTACACTTTTGTTCTATGGTAAAATATATTTGCATTCTTAGTGCTAATTATCTGCAAATGTTTTTTCCATTGTGTTTTGAGGTTAATGCAGCTGAAAGTATTGCATTTTAATACAGAATTCCTACAATAGATGATTGAATGTTAAACATAATTTGTATTTATTTTAGTCAAATTTGAGAATGACATTACATTTGTTGGCTTTCAAGAACTACAGATTTAGCTGATTTCAATTTCTAACAGGCTTAATAGACATGAAAACACTTGTATGGTATGCACTCAAACTCAAATTGGTGTGTTTCTTTTAAACAGTCATCATCCATTTGTATTGACATGCTTTTGTTCCTAGTTCCAGTTTGAAGGTTTTATAAAGTTATAATAATAAGTTAATGTGTTCATCTTCATTATTTTGCATGTGACCTAATCTTAGAAGTACATGTAGTATTTGACATTGATATTTTAATACTATAGAAATTAAAATTAATGATTCTTCTATATAATAATCTGGGTTCCATAGATGGGTTTCAGAGAACTTGTCAGCCCTCCCAAAATTGTGTGTAGAATTTGGGATATTTGCATTTTTATTTCTTAATCTTTGATCCATCATAATATATGTATTTTTCTATATGGTGTAAGATTCAAGAATTTTATTTTTGATCAAAACAGCTATTTGTCTCAACACCATTTATTAAACACTCTCCCTCTGGATTTGTTTCTTTCTCTTTTTAAGTAATCTTATATTAAGGCTGTTACGAAGTTTACACCTTTTTAATAATTAGAAAATGATTTAGCCTTCTTGTTTTCATCTTAAAAGAAAGAATACATTTTATCGGGGTAGTCTATAGTTATCAAAAGCAGATTTGTTACCTTTAAATTATTAAATAAAAATTTCAAGGTCCACTTAAGTTTTATAAAAGACTTTCTTGAGTCAAGAGTCTCTCCTACAAAGGTCTGGCTGTCCTGGAACTTGCTGTGTAGACCAGGCTGTCAGCAGACTCAGAAAGATCTGCCTGTCTCTGCTCTGCCTCTTGAGTGCTGGTATTAATAACATATGCCACCACTCACACCTGGCTCTTGATTTCTAATTTAACCAAGAAAAAAAAAAACAGTTCTTTTAGAGTTGAATCAAAGGTTTAAAGTTGAAAATCTGTTTAAGGTGTGTGTGTGACGTAACCATGTGTGCACAGTGTGTTTGTGTGACGTAACCATGTGTGCACAGTACCAGCCCAGGTGAAGGCATTAGATCTTCTGAAACTGGAGTTAAAGGCAGCTATGGGCCACACAGTGTGGGAGTTAGGAAGTGTAGGATACTAAATTATGTATTTTTTTCATTCATTGCCACTTTAATACCTAACTATACCCAATGTCATCATAAACAAATTTTTTATTGAGACAGGTTTTCTCTTGTAACAGCTCTGGCTGTCTTGGAGCCCTGTAGACCAGACTGGCCTCAATTTACAGAGATCCACCTGCCTGGGCATCCTAGGTGCTGGGATTAAAAGCGCATGCCACTAATGCCAAACCATAAACAGAACTTTTGCTACAAGCCTTAATTTTTAGAGGTAAATTGTAGACCTTTGTAATGATCTCTTTTTTTTCTTTCTTTCTTTGAAAACTAATGTGTGTTTTCAGTGTTGGAGATTGTGTGTGTGTGTGTGTGTGTGTGTGTGTGTGTGTGTGTGTGTGTGTGTGTAAGTGTAAAGATTTCAGGAAATAAAGGCAAAGTTTAATTTGGAGTTTAAAGTAGAACTGACTGATCTCTTGTCTTTAATGATTTCTTCCCATAAAAATGACAAGTGGATTCTTCATGGGTGAGCTAGTGTCTCTGACATATGCTCAGCTGCATAGAGCCATCAAACTCAATACAAAATCAAGAACGTTGACTCTGTTACGTAAGAGAAGATGTCACTGAGAAGTGTTGAATTCTAATTTATCTGGAATAGAATGATACAGTAATCTAAACCAAAACTTCAATTTTGTTCATGTGTATGTCTTGCCAGCCCCCAAAAGTTCTTGGAAGAACATTCTCCTTGTGTTAGCAGACAGGCAACAGGACATACTGGTTTGTTTTGTATTTTTGTTTTTCCTTTTTGTAAGGGGTGGGGATGGTTTGAGACAGGGCTTCTCTGTTGTAACCTTGGCTGTCCTGGAACTCACTCTGTAGACCAGGCTGGTCTTGAACTCCCGAATGCTGGAATTACAGATGTGGGGTCACCACCACTACCTACTTTTAATGAATAGGAACTTCAAGCAAGTAACAAAGTTTGAACAAATAGGTGGTGTTAGGACTTGAACCTGACAGTTTGGTTTCTAAAGTTGTGTTCTCAGTTGTTGCTAAATTGCTTTTAAATGAATAATGTGGAAATGGTTTGTTGGATTTTACCAGTTATAAGAGTAAGATGTTGCCAGGCGGTGGTGGCGCACGCCTTTAATCCCAGCACTCGGGAGGCAGAGGCAGATGGATCTTGTGAGTTCCAGACCAAGCCTGGTCTACTGAGCTAGTTCCAGGACAGGCTCCAAAACAATACAGAGAAACCCTGTCTCGAACCCCCCCCCCCAAAAAAAGTAAGGCGGTTACTACAAATGGTGAAATTAGCAAGTAGGTGTGGCTCAGTGGTAGAGCACTAGCCTAGTGTACATATTAGGTCCTGGGTTCAAGCTTCAGCATGACAATAAATAAACATGAACATAAAGCAGAGATAAAAGACCAAACAGTGCAGTCAACACAAAAAGTTATAAATAAACTGGGCCTGTTACTTCCCGCTATTTGAGAGGTTGAGGCAGAAGACTGATAATCCTGGGAGGTTTAGCAAGACTGTTGGCAGGAGATGGGAAAGTAGTTGAGTCACCAGTGAATTATGAAATGTTTGTCTAAATTCCCAGAACTCCACAGATCAAAGTCCCTCTATTTGATGACCATTAGATACTGTGTTGTAGCATAAATAATCAAAAACCCAGTGACAGAAGCAAAGCAACCAGCCGCTAGAGAGTTCTCACCTCTGTCAACACTCAGATCAAAGGGACAAGTGTGTCCTCCCCGATTGCATCTCCTGACTACACTGCTCCTCAAGACTGCCTAGATCACACTGAGATGCTGTGTGCTCCTGTCTGCTCCCGCTTTATATTCTCTCCACTCTAATGCTGGATTAAAGGTGTGAGCTCTGTTTCTCCATAGCCCAGGCTGGCCTTGAACTCAGAGATCCATCTGTCTCTGTCTCTTGAGTGCTCATTGTCTGGCCTCTGTAGCTTTGCATTGTGATCTTCAGGCAAGCTTTATTTGTTAGATCATAAACAAAATATGTCCACCCTGTATTAGTTTATGGCAGAGTTCTAGCACTAGAGAAAAAAAACATCCGTCTTGTATACCTGAAGAAGACAGGCCACTGTTTACCTGACACTCCACTACAGTTTTCTTTGTTCTGCAGTCATATAAAAACATACAGCCCTCCCTTCGCCATCGTGTGTTGTACGCCTGAGTCGACTTCTCACCATGTCTTCTCATAAGACTTTCAGAATCAAGCGATTCTTGGCCAAGAAACAAAAGCAAAATCGTCCTATTCCTCAGTGGATTCGGATGAAAATCGGTAACAAAATCAGGTACAACTCCAAGAGAAGACACTGGAGGAGAACCAAACTGGGCCTGTAAGAATTCACACAATGGCAAGAATTGAGAGTTTGCACTGAATCATGGTCAATGCAAGCAAAGCTACCAGATGACGCTTAACTTTTTTTTTTTTTTTTGGTTTTTACGAGACAGGGTTTCTCTGTATTGTTTTGGAGGCTATCGGTCCAGCCTGGCCTCGAACGCACAAAGATCCGCCTGCCTCTGCCTCACGAGTGCTGGGATTAAAGGCGTGCGCCACCACCGCCCGGCTGACGCTTAACATTTTTTTTTTTTTTTTTTTTTTTTTTTTGGTTTTTCGAGACAGGGTTTCCCTGTGGCTTTGGAGGCTGTCCTGGAACTCGCTCGGTAGACCAGGCTGGTCTCGAACTCACAGTGATCCGCCTGCCTCTGCCTCCCAAGTGCTGGGATTAAAGGCGTGCGCCACCAACGCCCGGCCGCTTAACATTTTTGACCTGGAGATTTGGTCATATTTAAGTTGGGAATGGTTTGTCCAGTAATAAAAAATATAGAGCCTTTCAAAAAAAAAAAAAAACAACATACAGCCCTCTTTAATCCCAGCACTCAGTAGGCACAGGCAGGCGGGTCTCTGTGAGTTCGAGGCTAGCCTGGTCTACAGAGCGAGTTCCAGGACAGCCTCCAAAACAATACAGAGAAACCCTGTCTCAAAAACCAAAAAAGCCCTTGCTACTTGGATGGTATTCTTTGTTGGGACCCTTTCCCTTTGAGTTTCTTTTTTACTTTTTTCTTAAAATATGCTGGTTGACTCCTCTGCCCCTGGAGTCTGAGGACATCAATCCTTGTCATCAGCAGGACAAAATAATGGGGTCACAGACAATTATTACAAATAAGTTGAAAAAGGACTGAGGTTGGGAGGAGGCCCAGTAGTAGAGCACTTATTTAGCATGTACGAGGCCCTGGATTTGATCCCGGTCTGGCAGAAAAAGGAAAGTTACTGTACACCCAGCGCAGGTTGCTGCTAGTCAAAGATACCACATTTCAAAGTCTGAAGAATTGCCACTTAAATTTCCTTTCCTATCCAATGTTAAATCTTAGATGGTGAGAATTGTTTGGCAGCATAATTATTGCTACACAGTAAGGGAAAACATTTTCCTTCTAAAGATCCCTTCTGCTTTTCTCTGTGTTTTCCAGCTGTTGGATGCTGCTATTCTCATTCTGAGAGAGCAAAACTGGTGCTTGCATCCCTAGCTATATGCCTTGTAAAGTGTGTGTGTGCGCGCGTGCGTGCAGAGGACAGAAGAGTGTTTTGGATGCCCTGCATCTGGAGGTATAAGCAGTGATGAGCTGCCTGATGTGGGTGCTGAGAACTGAATTTGGGTCCTTTGTAAATGCCGTCTCTAGCCCCAGGTTGGTTTAACTAAGTCAGTCCCTCCCTCCCTCCCTCCCTCCCTCCCTCCCTCCCCTCCCCTCCCCTCCCTCCCTCCTAACTGCAGTCTTTTGAAATGGTTTTGAAGTGTCAAGATATATCATTTTATACATGATCTGAAGAAGCATTGTCCTGAGAACTCAAGAACTTCACAGACACACAAAGGGGTCCAAGCAGCTCTGTTCAATGGGTACGGTTTCTTGCAATTTAACTCAGAAGTGGGAGGAAATTAGACTTAAGTGTCCCTCACTTGTCAGAGCCAAACTCTTCTTAAGATTTAGGCAAATGACAGGGTGATACATTTGGATAATTTCACATAAATGGCAAAAACAGGCTTTTCTGTTCATGTCTCAAAGTTTTAATGGTCTTTAGGTCCTGCAAACCTGGATCCACTTCTGGTGAGGCCATGCCTGGTGGATTTCTTCACCTTATATAACCATTAGTCAGCAGCCTGGATCCTGTGCCAGGGCAAACTGAGTGCCAAGAACTGGGTAGGAACACAAGGAAAGAGGAGCTCTACACAAGCTGCTGGATGGAGAGAGAACTGCAAGCTAGGACAAAAACAGCTCCAAGGAAAACAAGCTATACCCCTACCCAACAAAGTTCCCTGGGAAACAAGCTATACCCTACCCAACAGAAAGTTCCCTGGGAAACAAGCTATACCCTACCCAACAGAAAGTTCCCTGGGAAACAAGCTATACCCTACTCAACAGAAAGTTCCCTGGGAAACAAGCTATACCCCTACCCAACAGAAAGTTCCAAGGAAAACAAGCTATACCCTACCCAACAGAAAGTTCCCTGGGAAACAAGCTATACCCTACCCAACAGAAAGTTCCCTGGGAAACAAGCTATACCCTACCCAACAGAAAGTTCCCTGGGGAACAAGCTATACCCCTACCCAACAGAAAGTTCCCTGGGGTGCTGAGAAGAAAGTGGCAACAGTCAGCTACTCATTTTAGTGTCTTTGAGAAGACAACCATCCTCAAAGAAAAATCTCATTGTTTATACACTGTGCCCTAAGATCTGTGTCATCCAGAGGAGAGCACCCTGGCATGATCCTAACTCCGATAATCCTTTGGCTACATTTTTTTTTTTTGAGACAGGGTTTCTCTGTGGCTTTGGAGGCTGTCCTGGAGCTCACAGAGATCCGCCTGCCTCTGCCTCCCAAGGGCTGGGATTAAAGGTGTGCGCCACCACTGCCTGGCTTCAAGTATGTTCTTAAATTTTTATAATTCATAATTGGAGCAGGAGAGATGGCTTAGCAGCTAAGGGCACTTGTTACTCTTGTTGAGGACCTGAGTTCCATTCCCAAGGTCCATGGGATGGTGCAGGCATCAGTTGGAACTCCAGTTTCAGGGGATCTGACCCCCTCTTCTGACTTCTCAGGGAGCCTGGCACACCTGTGGTGGGTGGTACACATACATACTCATACACATAAAGTCTAAAAAATAAAACGTAAAAATTCACAGAAATTGCATAATTAAATATAAAATACAAGCCAGACGGTGCACCTGCAATCCCTAAGCATTGGGAGGTGGAGGCAGAAGCGGATGCAAAGGCCATGGAAGAGGGCTGCTCACTGGCCTCCTGGTTGGGGCTTTGTGTGCGTTCCCGCCCTGACTTCCTCCAGTGATGGACTATGATGTGGGAGAGGGAGTTAAGTAAACCTCACTTGCTTTTGGTCATGGTGTTTCATCATAGCTTTAATAACCCAACATAGGGATTTTGAGCCAGCCTGGGCTAATGAAATCCTGATTGAAAAAAGCCATCCATCCTTCCATTCATCCATCCTTCCATCCATCTTCTACCATCTAATTGCTACTTACTATGTACTAGGACATTTATTTAGCTTTATACTTAAATTTAATATAGTATAACACATGTATAACATATAAATGTAAGATATGCATATCCTAAATGTGTGTTTAAAACACACACACACCTCCCTTCCCTGTTGTGGGTGTCCACCAGAGAAGACGGGTCAGATTGGCTTTAAGTCAATAGAAAGTCTTTATTAGTCGTCCAGCAACTTCACTGGGTGTTTGGGATCTCAGTTTAGCACTGAGCCTTTGTCGGGGTGAGCTTCCAGTACGAAAACCACGTCCTAGGTTGACAAACTTCAGTTAAGAACAGTCAGCCGGAAGCAGAACTACTAAGGTCTAGGGCCCTGTTACATCCCTGCACTGTTTGACAGGGTCTCCTATGTATCCCAGGCTGCCACTGGTCTGGAATTTGGAGCATAATGAGTGTTCTTCCTAAACTCCAGTCTGGGATTACAGGCTACAGGTAGGTGTCAGAACTTTCATCCTGTCTTCATAAACAGCAATCTCTGTTGCTACCTGTGTGTTCAGTGCCATTGTCATCAACAACTTTCCCTGTCAGTTTCTTTTCAATTTTTACACACACACAAAGACATATTCTCTCTCTCTCTCTCTCTCTCTCTCTCTCTCTCTCTCTCTCTCTCTCTCTCTCTCTCCCTCTCTCTCTTCCCTCTCTCTCTTCTCTCTCTTCCCTCTCTCTCTCTCTCTCCCTTCTCCCTCCCTCTCTCCCTCTCCCTCCCTCCCTCTCTCTCTCTCTCCCTCTCCCCTCTCCCTCTCTCTCCCCTCTCTCTCTCTCTCTCCCCTCTCCCTCCCTCTCTCCCTCTCCCTCTCCCTCCCTCTATCTCTTCCCTCTCCCTCTCCCTCTCCCTCTCCCTCTCCCTCTCCCTCTCTCTCTCTCTCTCTCTCTCTCTCTCTCTCTCTCTCTCTCTCTCTCTCTCTCTCTCTCTCTCTCTCTCTCTCTCTCGTTTTTCCTGATGGTGGGCGCTCCTTCAGACCCCTCAATGCTCAGGTCATCTGGGGATGAAGCTCTTGGGGGCCTGTCAGTTACAAGTCCAAATTCAGGTTCCGGGGAAGGGCTTCCTGGGGCTGGCCTCAGGGCACAGTGTGGTGTCTAGGCTGACTGGGGCGAACTCAGCAGAGAAGGGCTTGCTTGCCTTTTGCCTCCCGGGCTCCTTAACATCTCCGAGTACTTGAAATTAATGTGTTAATTCCTATGGGCCTCTGTATATTTCTTTTTAACCTCATTTCTTATCAGAAAAGGTTTTAAAGTTGGAGTCAATTCATAGCCCCTCCGCTTTACAGCAGGGCGTGGCAGGTTAATACCCCCAGATGCTTAGTCCAGCTGTGCGGTCTTTCCGCACTTTGTCACTAGCCTGTGACACCCTGAAGCTGCCTGACCTGGAGGGGGATGGCGCAGTAGAGACAGAAGTCTGTCTGGGGCGGGGGCAGGGGTGTTGAGTTCCTGGTGCTCTAGGAGAGGCTGCCCCTCCAGAGGCTAGGTACCCACTCCCTTTCCTGCGTCACACGAAGATTGGCAAGGCCGGGACGTGTCTGCTATGCAGGGTGAACCCACAAAACTTCAATGGCCATCTGAAGAGAAGACCTCTCTGTGCAGTATATATTCCATGCCTATGATCTGTATTGCTTTAGGGCTAAGCAAATCCGGAAGGAAGTGCTTTTGCTGGGAACTCTTCAGCATTCAGGCCAGAGGTCACACGTGGCAGGTTCTGGATGTCCTCGAAGGAGGGCAGGCCCATCAAGAGCAAGATCCTTCACTGAGATCTGTCTGGAGAAAACCAGATAAAGACTGAGTCCCTGGAGGCTCTTCTGAC